GACGGAGGAGATGCGGGCGGGTACTAGGGACAGTGCCATGGACTAGATGGGGGGAGAACTATTCTGGTACACTCCCATTTCATACTCTTTATTCTTGCTTAACACGAGAAAAAAAAGCTTGTTAGGTTGAAAACCCAAAAGGGCAACTTAAGCAAAATAAAAGCAAAAAGAAGAGTGAGTTGGTGAGAATAAAAAGGAAAATGTGGGAGGCCGGGACGAAAACCCAAAAAGGGCACCTAGGCAAAATGAGAGAATGAGAGAAAATATTTCTTTTATATTTGCAGGATCCTAAGGGTACACACAAGGAGCAAAAGAAGAGGAACCCAATGATGTTGAAGATCTTTTAATTATGTGTTTTGATCATTGGAACATTTTTATGTTGATTATCAAAAACACTTGTGGATGGTTGTGTTGTGCTACTATTTTGTTAAAAACTTCATGGGCAGGATTTGTTTTACTTGAGACGAGCAAAAGTTCAAGTGCGGGGGTGTTTGATAGGCACTAGTTGTTAGTGCCTAAGTATACATTTTTATTATTGTTTGTAATGTTTATTTACTAGTTTTGTGCAAGTTTATAGTTGTTAGTTTGCATTTGATTGTAATCGTATTTCTAGCATTTTATTGTTTGTTGTAAGTTGTAGTTAGTTCGGCTATAAGTTTAGGATAGGTTTGGAAGCAAAAAGGATGAAAAAAACTGAGTTTTGTGCAAAATTCGGTCGGGTATGGCCTTTGCCCGGCCGGGTATGAAGTGAAAGAGGAAATTACTGCGAAACTAGCAAATACCCAGTCGGGTATCCCCTATACCCGGTCGGGTATGAAGTGATTTCGGACCAAAGAACGTGCAGAAAACACAAAGACGTGGGAAAATATTTGATTTGGCAAATACCCGGTCGGGTATGTCTTGAAAACACCTATAAATAACCCCGTTTTCCTTCACATTTCATCATCCCTTCTTTCATACTCTTAAGCTCAGTTTAGAATAGCATTTCTTTATATTTTATTCATGTTTAGTCTCCAAATGAGGAGCTAAACTCTTCCATCTTGGTTTTGCTACTTTGAAGCTTAATGAATTTGTAAGTTGTGAGTTATTTTCTTTAATCTTCTTCCTTGAATATTAATTTTTTCCTATTCATATTCCATATTAATATTTTGAGCATTACTTAAAGGATCAACTAGTTTTGTTTCATATATTAATTATTACTAGAATCAATCGATTAATACACTTGTTATTAATTCGGTTCTTTCAACGGTAGTAAAACTTGGATTATTAATGCATGCGTCTCATGGTTAATAATCTAAGGGGAATTAATTATATTGATTAAACCAATAAAACGCTTGTGTTGAGGTTATCAATCTCAATCGTTTTCATCTTAAGTTTATTGCTACTATCGGGCTAATATACGACGCTTGTTCTATATTAACACGGTAGTCGGTAGTAAGTTTATTAATGAACGCGTCTCGTTATTAATAACTACTCTCGATGAACTGGATATACTCCTCGATTGAGTATTCGAGAGGAAGATAGTTAAAGATATAACCGGGATCGACGAACATTTCATTAAGTGGATAAAAGCAAAACCAAGTCCTCATCTCTATTAATTAAACTCATATAAGTCGTTCATCTTAGTGTTAATTAAATAGAATCAAATCAAACTTAAAACCCCCCTTGTTGCTATTATATAAAAGAAAAGTATTCCTTTCCCTGTGGATACGAACCTTACTTCATTATACTACGTATTAGTGTTGTATTAATAAATTATTTTGAGTGCACCTCACGACAAGTGCACGTCAAATTTGGCGCCGTTGTCGGGGAAAGGCTCCACTTTTTAACCGTGTGTTTGTGTAATTTTGTTTTTAATTTTCTTTTATGTTTTTTCATTTACCTTGAATAAAGTGAAAAGAGCGGGTACACACTTCGATCCTCTACTCCACCCCAAATCCATATTCTCAATTTAACTCCATTTGTCAGTGAGATGAAGAAAAAAATGAGGAGCTAGGGTGAAAACCCGAAAAGGACTCCTAGGCAAAATGAGAGAAAACGAGATAAATTTTAATTTTTGTAGGAGAAAATTTCGTGTGTAAGTTCAAACAACAAGATACCGGATCGGGTACAGGCCATACTCGTTCGGGTGTTTTCAAAGAGCTCCTCGAAATTTTCAAAGGAGGCTAGCACAAAAAGCTTAGCATGGGGGAGCATGAACGGATAAAACCTTGGGAGAAGAAACTGATTTTAAATGTGAGAAGAAACATGACACTCCTAAGCATTGAACTTAATTAATTTTCACTTTACTCGAGGACGAGTAAAAGATTAAGCATGGGGGTATTTGATGCGTACTATTTAGAAGTACATAAACACCACATTTTAGAATGGTTTTACATTATGTTTACTTAGCTTTTGTACAATTACGGTGTAATCTTTATCTTCTAAAATTATAGAAGAATTAAAAGATATTAAGATATTTTGACATGTAAGCAAAAACATGGTGAAAAGAAGAGGAAGGAGCTTGGGAACATAAGGAAGGAGCATTGGAGATAAGAGGAAGCTTCATGGAGGACAAAGATGTGTGAAAAATCAGATATGATTCGACCCGGAGATCATAAGAGATCTAATAAAACAAGTGAACATGGGAAAATCAGATTATGTCTTAGACCCAACCACCTCACTTCTCCTATAAAAACACCTCTTTCCTTCCTATTTTAGATACCAATTTAATCCCCTCTTTCATATACACCTTATTCTTGTAATTTAGGTAGTCTTTCCATCTTGGTTTTGCTACTTTGAAGCTTGATGAATTGTAAGTTGTGAGTTATTTTCTTTAATATTCTTCCTTGAATATTAATTAATTCCTATTCATATTTCATTTTAATATTTTGAGCATTACTTAAAGGATCAACTAGTTTTGTCTCATATATTAATTATTACTAGAATCGATGGACGAATACGCTTGTTAATCGTTCGATCTTTTCACGGTAGTAAACTTGGATTATTAATGCATGCGTCTCATGGTTAATAATCTAAGGGGAGTTAATTATATTTATTAAACCAATAAACCGCTTGTGTTGAGGTTATCAATTTCAATCGTTTTCATCTTGAATTTATTGCTACTATCAAGTAAATATACGGCGCGTGTTCTATATTAATGCAGTAGTAAGTTTTATTAATGAACGCGCCTCGTTATTAATAACTACCCTCGATGAACTGGATATACTCCTCGATTGAGTATTCGAGAGGAAGATAGTTAAAGATATAACCGAGATCGACGAACATTTCATCAAGTGGATAAAAGCAAAATCAAGACTAATTACCTTTGATATTTTATTTCACTCATTTAAGTATTTTATTTGCTTTCTCAATTATCAAAATATCCAATTCCCCCTTCCGTTTACTTTTATTTATGACGCTTACACATACGTGAAAAGCTCCTTTCCCTGTGGATACGAATTCTACTACGCCATACTACGGTATTAGCCCTTAGTAGTGAATTTAATTTGAGGCACACTACGACAAAGTGCTCGTCACTTCACTTAAGAAGGTCATAGCATCCACATAATATTGATCACCGTATTTCTTGTCAACCTCCATCTCATCAAGAAGTTTAGCCACCTTTTCGATCACAGATTGCTCTTTTGCAGAAGCAAGCTTCACGATTTCTAAACATCTATCTATTTCTCCTCGCTTTCGTGCTAAGCTTTCACCGACGTTGTTTTTTCCCTTTCGCTTCTTAGTTGATGCGAATGATTGATCTACCATAATAGGTGAATCACTTTTTTCACCATAAACTGTATCATGACTTTCATTTTCATCGGAACTATCACTACCGGTATCAAAAGAATCTTCGGTGTTTATGTTCTGAGTCTTTTGGACCGCGACATTACTATTGAGAATGGGTGTTGTTCTAGCGCTAGCAGGTGAGCTACCTCATACACCATGTGCAGTCTGTCCTTGGAATAAAGCTTCTAGGTACTGAAGATATGGCATCTGCTTCTTAGCAACTGCAACTCCATGTCGCTTATGTTTATAAATAATATTATATTTATATTTAATAATACAATTAAATAATATTAGGAAATAACTTTTATTTAGAGAATATAATTTGAAATTAAAGAAAAAGGCAAGTGCATTTTTACCTCTTGATATGCTTTCCATCTATCTAGGGAACGTTCTTCTACTTGAACTTCACCCGTAACTGGATAAAAATTTATGCCAGTGCAATTTTGAAGGTCGACCCATGCTTTGTATTTATCTTTCAACTCACTAAATTGATTTTGCGCTTTCTTACAATAAAAAAGAGCACTCGTTTGTACATGAAGGTTGTTTACAATTTTATTCCAATCATATTTAGTATTTCCTTTTGCTTTTTATTCAGCACAAATCTTCAAAAATGTAGTTGTAGTGGTGTCATTCCAAGGTGTCCTCCTTGACATTGTCTATAATTGATAGCAAAATAAAACATAATTATAGCTTCATTATTAATTGAAGTGAAGTACTTATATATGATAATATTTTTAATTATATGTCTATATATATATATACACGGGAATAGTAGTACAATACTAACTTTTCAAAAACTATTTGACACTAAACTTATGAAAATTTCTGAATTTCTGAATTCATTTACAAAGGGTTGACGTGTACATGTAGGTAAAGAACAATTCCTTAATCTTACTTCTCTTCGATTCTCTTCTCGTTAAAACAATTCACAGCTTCTCTTCTACGCAAATAAGAGCATCTTCTATTGTTTTACTTGAAGAAGGCTTACCATCGTCAGGTTCAAGCTTTATCGCAGAGGATAGGCTTTACAGATGCGGATGATTCTTAGGTGACATTTTTTTAATAAGAGGCACTTCAATCGGTTGATTACCGTTCAAATAAGAAATTTGCTTCTTTTTTAAAATTAGGGGTGGATTGAAACTATTGAGGTTAGTAAAACTTTTATATACGAATCACATAAATAATTATATTTTATTTCAATAAAACGACTTAGGCAGCGACGGAAATACCTGGCGGGAAGATTGACGTGCGGCCGATTGAAGATGAAAGGGAAGAAGAGCGCAGATCGAACACATCTTCAGCGCAGACGGAAGGGAAGTAGAGCGCAGATGGATCGGTCTGTTCTATTTTATATATATATGTGTGACTAAACTGGGTCAATTGCCAAATTTTATCTTTTCTCCTGTTTTTATTTGGACTAGTTCAGTGTAGTCTGATATGGTCTTGTCTAGTTTGAGTTGTTCTGTATTTGTATGATCTGGTCTGGTCTGCTTCGATCTGATCTGATCTGCTTCAGTCCAAGTATAACGATAACAATTTTCAATAATTTGGAAGGAATATTATTATTTTTAATAATACATGAATAAAATATAATTATTTATGAATTATAATATATATAAAAATAAAAATTTTATGCAAAAAATATAAAAAATAAAATTTCAGACCAGACCAGACCAGTCCAGACCAGACCAAAACAGACCAGACCAGACCAAACCAAACCAGCAAATTACGGTCCAAGTAAAAACATCCTAAGTGTTAATTGAAATATTGAATAGCTGCATTATCGATAGGGGTGGCAAAAACCGAACCGAAACCCGGAAACCGGCCCGGGCCTGGCCCAAATTATGATATATCAGTCCGGGTTTTTTCTTTTTGACCGGCCCGAATAAAAAAAAACGGACCAAACCCGAAACTTCGGGCTCATTTACGAGCCCTAAAATTTATAACCCGGCCCGGACCGATAAAACCCGAAACAATTAGCTTTAATATAAAATCAATATAATATACCAATATAATGTATAAATTCATTCCTAATATATGATTGTAATCATGATGAACGAAAATATGACTTAATAACTATTAGTTACTACAAATATGTTCAATTTATTTACCGTAATGACCATGAAAACATATTTATAGTAACTTTAGGCACACTTTTATCCATAAATTTTATTTCATAATATTTTTAGAACACCTATATGGCTATATATATTATTTATTTTTATGCATCTTAAACAAAATATTATGATAATTGCCTTCTTTGAATTTGAATTTTTGGTGATTTTGGAGACTAATATATGTGGTTTTAGTTAATTTTATTTGCGGTTTGTACTTTTTATTAATTTTATTTGAAAATAGATTTTAAAATATAAAAGAAATATGAGTGATTTCACATTCGGGCTTTAACCGGCCCAACCCGAACCCGGACTACAATATAGTGGGCTTTGTTTCGGTCCCTAATTTTAATAACCCGATAACTTACGCGTAATTTCCGGGTTTAGCAAGAACCCGACCCGGACCGGACCGATTCCACCCCTAATTATCGACGTTATCGTGCCCACTAAACACTCTTGGGCTTACTGATCTATTGAGACTGGGCTCAAAATTCACTTATAAATTAATTATTTTTGTCACTAAAATTAAGAATTAACTACATATTTATGATTAAAATAAAAATTAATTACAAAAATGTGATTAGGAATTTGAAAAGTAATGTAGTAAATAGTAACTTATGTTTAATTTTTAAACATAAGTTATCATGACTCTACATTGTAGTAACTATTAGTCATATATATGTGTGTAAATAAGTTTTGTTTTGATACTACCTCAGTCCTGTTGAAAGGTTCACATGGCAAAACGACACGATTATTTAGACAATAATTAAATAAGGTAATTCGATTATATTTTGAGAAATAATTTAAGAGTTATATAATATAGGGGTGGGCAAAAATCCCAATCCCGGTGTCCCAGACTAAAACATTCCGATACCATTCGGAAACTATCCCGATCCATTTAGGATGCAATTTTTGCATCCCGAACTGGTCCTCGACCTATATTAACCGGTATGGGACCGGGATAGCTATAAATATCATGTCATGTCCCAATGTCCCGTTTGAAATTAGTAGGTTATTTTAAATTTCTCCTTAGTGTAGTTTTATCTTATTTCATGTCTCTCTTAGTCTCATTTCTTTTGTCTCTTTTGATTAAAATTTGTTTAGTTCTCATTCCGATACTACTCTATAATACTCCGTATATTACTACGTGCAGAATATTATTTATTATCGAATAACTACTACTCCAAAATATAGTGTTGTTATAGATTTAATATTTTCCAAAGTAACTACTAGAAAATATAGTATTTATAGATATGATATTTAATTTAATGTGGTATTGAAAAATTATAAGTGTACTACAAAGTATAAAATTATTTTGCGCTACTATTCTACTAGAGGAAACACAATATTAGGTGGGACCAAAAAAATTTACAAGACAATAATTAAAAGCAGTTAATTAGAGGTTTTACTTAACTTTTTAGAGAGCTAAATTTGCAAAAATAGTTACATCTTTATTTTGATATTATGCTTATTTTTGTATCACATTTCACAAATGTATATTTTATGGGACGTCCCGAACAGTCCCGATTTTTATCGGGATGTCCCGGTCCCGTTTTAAATGGGATAACATTAGGATAAAGATTTATCCCGACCCGAACCGGACCGTTATTATAAAACCAGATCAGGATTGTGATAAGCCATATCCCAAACCGTCGCAGACCGCGCCCACCCCTACTATAATAATATAATGAGGTTAGTGTTGATAACTATGATGTTATAAATGTATTGGTTTTAATATTTAATGATTAATTTGTTACTTAAGATTTTTAATTATTTCCTCAAATGAAAATATGAATTTTTATATGGGACGTCCACAAAAGAAATCTGTGAATCTTTCTATGGGACGGAGGGAGTAATATTTTTGAAAAATACCCAAAATTAAATGGTTGTTCGAAACCTTCTTCAATAAAAAAAAAATTGTCATATTGTTAGGATGTAATATTTTACTAACATATCTTCATTTCAATTCACTAATATTTAACACAGCGTGTTGTATTTCAATTCACTAATATTTAACTTGGCGCCGATTTTTAAAGTTTCCTCACATTTTCTGATGTCTGGCGCCCGTTGCATCTTGTGAGCTGAATGGCATTGGTTTGGTCTAGTTCAGCCGTTGGTTCAACCCCAACTCGCAAATACAACCTTTTAGGCGCTTTTTGGCTTCAACATTATCTAGTGACTTCATTTTCTTTGCTTTTGATCACATTTCATGTTTGCAATACATCTTTAATTAATTTGGGGTTTTACTAGATTTCCTTTCTTTCTCCGGTAGATTATTGTGACTATCAGTTAGCGACTAGGAAGTTATTGTACTGTTAGAAAACCGGACCGGCTCAGACCTCAATCACCACCAAGCCCAAAGGCTTGCTCACACTCACCACCAGGGATACAAACAGGGAAGACGAAAGGGCGACAGCCAACTAGCCCTCACACTCAGAACCCAGACTCCAGTCCAGAAAACCCACCGGAGCAACGGATACCCACCACACTACCAGACTAGAGTGAAGACCCCAAAAGGAACCCCAAAGTCTCACCGGAGCAAAGCCGGAGCTAAAGCTCAGAGTAGACCGGCACTCTCTCACTCTAGGTCTAGGGTAACTGAACGGGAGAGACATCGGTTAGAGAGAAGGTGGAGAGGCAGAAATAGGAGGATTCCAGAACAACCAGACAATATAAGGGAGGGTCACACGGGATGGGCTGGGTATAAGACAAATAGGAAGGGAATGGGCTTGGTCGGGTAGACAACCCAAATGGACCAGGGCATTAAATAGGAGACCAACTCCTTAAATGAGGTGGACCAAAGGCAGCTCAGGGATGGCCCAGTAGTGAGGTGGACCAATACCACTTCAATCTCCACCTTATTGGCCCCCCTGGTGGTGTAGAGCACAACGTGAAAGGGAGAATCATCATCGTCGGTTTTTCTTGTTTTACAATTCTTATCTAGCCACAATCTAAATTAAGAATACGTTTACAAGACAACAGTTTTTCAAAAGTGAGACATTTAGTCCCCATATCTGCAGGGTTAAATTCTGAAGGTGTCTTGGACAGCTTTATCCAACCTGCATCCACAATATTTCTAATAAAATGAAACCTGACATCAATGTGCTTGGTCCTGTCATGGAATACAGGATTCTTGCACAATTGGATAGCAGACTGGCTATCAGAGTACACTGTCACAACCTGCTTAAGAAAACCAATTTCAGTTAGCATTCGTTTAAGCCAAATAGCCTCTTTAAAGGCCTCAGTGGCTCCCACGTATTCAGATTCAGTGGTGGACAGTGCAACAATAGGTTGTAGTTGAGATTTCCAACTTATGCAGGAACCACAAAGAGTAAAAATGTAGGAAGTAGTAGACTTTCTATTGTCCCTATCATTTGCATAATTGGAGTCAACATAGCCAGTAAGTAAAATGCCAGTTTCAGTTTTAGAAAACACAAGACCATGAGAAGGTGTACCCCTAAGGTATCTAAGGAGCCATTTAAGGGCAGTCCAGTGAGACATACCAGGGTTTGCCATATATCTACTTAAGCAACTAACAGCATAAGCTATGTCAGGCCTTGTGCTTACCATGAGATACATGACTGACCCTATAGCACTGGAATAGGGTACAGCCTTCATCCTATCTATCTCAGGAGCAGTCCTTGGGGACTGATCCTTGCTTAGCACAAAATGGGGTGCTAAGGGAACATTCACAGGTTGGGTAGAGTCAATTTTGAACTTTTTCAAGACCTTTTCAAGATAGGAGGTTTGGTTCAGGGTAAGGGTACACCTACTCCTATCCCTAAGTATATTAATCCCTAGGATTCTCTTAGCATCTCCAAGATCTTTCATAGCAAAGTTTTCACAAAGGCACTTTTGAACTATCTTAATAGCATTCACAGAGGGGCTAATGATAAGCATGTCATCAACATAGATCAACAAGAAAACAGGTACAGAGGCAGTATTCTTAAAATACAAACAAGGGTCAGAATCAGACCTTTTGAAACTCAGGGAAGACATACACTGGTCAAACTTGATATTCCATTGTCTCGGAGACTGTTTTAGGCCATAGAGGGCCTTCCTAAGTAGACAGACATGTCTAGGGTACTTAGGGTCAACAAAACCCTCAGGTTGGCTCATGAAAATTTGTTTATCTAGTTCACCATGCAGGAAAGCAGTGGTAACATCCATCTGCTTCATCTCCCAGTCATTATGGGCAACTAGGGCAAGCATCA